GCAGTGGTTATTTCCACAACACCGCCATTCTGATTATATGAAGTTGTATCATAGAACTGTTTCTGACCTTCTTGGCATTGAATTAGTTTTCCAATATATAAAAACTATTGCTATTGTGCATATAAACGATATAACAGTCAAAGCAAATCCAGTACCAAAAGTTAAGGATACTGTTGGTGATAAACTCGATGAGCTCGATGAACTAGATGAGTTCGATGAACTAGATGAACTAGATGAACTCGATGAACTTGAACTAGAAATTGCATTGTCTAGATCTTTTTTAAGAACTGCGTAAAAAACAATCTCTCCTATCATTGAAGAAAAAACAAGAAAAGAACAAGTAGCCGAAGTCCATAGAGCGTGATTTGTATTATTGCTTTTTTGCCAAACAAGAAAACTAATTATAGCCAACGCGAATGAAACTATTAAGGCTAAAATAAAATAAACGAAATAATGATTATTTTTATTGATAATTGTATTGCAGGTTTTGTATACTTAGTTTCTACACTTGAATATTCAATTTTGCACAAGTTAAAAGTAAATTTGTACAAGATAACAGTCAAATTTGCACAAATTAATACTATGATAAATTGGAGTTGCTGGTGAAAAAAATTGTGCCAGAAAATTGGTGTAAAATCTAATTGACTATTAAAAACAGTGGCCAATAAGATAACCACCAGTTTCGCCAATATGATTTAGTTTCACCAGCAACATTTGATCAAATCATGATATCTCATGATCAAGTAATCATAATTCCATGATTTTGGTGCTATTAAATTCATCTCTATAAGATGAACCTAATGGCACCAAAATTATGGGATCATGATTATTAGATTATGATTTAACCAGAGCATAATTTGTATAGCTGTACTAATATGACTGTCCAAATGTACGGATGTGAATATCAGGTTGTGCGTACGAATTTGACTGCCTACTTGTACAAAATTGACTGTTCAAGTGTATGATCTAGGTATACAAATCCTGTATTTTCACATAGTAATTTAAAAATAAATGTTACCAATTGTATGCAAAGCTTCAAGAAATTGCACGCCACCATACAAACTCGTGTTGACTCCGGTAAAACTAGTGCTAGCATCCGAATAAGAAATGCATCTAGTTGTAGATGAGGATGCGTCCAAGGTTGAAGCTAAAAATGTAGATGAAGTTGTAAGACAAGCGCCATATAATCCGTACCCATATTGACTATGGGAACTAGCATTATCTAAGAAATCTGAGTACGAATAATCTGATGAGAGAGTTATTATGGCGATTGAAGCTATAACTGGAGCACTTAAGTTTACTAGAAAGAGAAAAAGTAGTGTAAGACTCGAAAGAGCTATTGCGATAAGAAGTAATGTTTTACGATTCATTTTGTTGCTTTAATGACAAAGTAATAGAAAATAAAGGTCGTCAATATATTTGTCATAAAAATCATTTAAATGATAAAAACTAAAAAATATCAAAACACGTACGCCTGTTCACAAAGTTTTTGCAATTTACACTTTAGATAAATACGTAAAAGTTTCTTTGCTTATTTATAAAAAAGATGTTAGACAATAGTAATTGCATGCTTCTAAATTTTGTTATGCACAATCATGAAACTTAATATCTTAATTCAGTAACTTTAATAGCAATATAATCCTATTAAAATTTATAGCTTTATGTAATGGGTGTTTCATAATTATCATATTTTGAAAATAAGTAGGAGTTTAAAAGATCCTACTTCTATTTTTAAAATTCTGACTCGGTGAATTAAACAGACGAACACGTTAATAAAATTAGCTTTGTTTTGATAAATATCTACTGGTAAACGATTAAGTAATTAAGTTTGGATCGCATATTTTGGTGTAAATATGTCACTTATTTTGTCTGAAATCGGATGTCAAACCATTAATTCTGAAACCCTCTAATTAATATCTAAAAAAGGGAAATTTAGCAGAAAGAAATTATCTTAATTAGGTATCTGCGCGATGTAGTCGCGTTAAAACCAAGATTAATCAATAAGGATATTTTTTGATACGTATAGAGTACTAATTTTAGATATTAAGTGCTTTTAATCAACGCTATTCATTACGACTGACTTTGACTGTAATCTAAATAGGCCGTTTACAGTACTTACAACTCTGGTCAAATTTGCAGATTGGTTGTCCAGATTTTCTTTTCTGAATCTGGTCAAAAGATCTACAAATTTGACCGGAGTTATAGGAAATCAGTTTACTATTTAGATTACAATTAATTTTCAATACTTGTTTAAACACGATTTAAAATTCGTATGTGAAAACTTGAGGCAATGTGATAGTTATGATCACGCGGACAAATGAAATGTAAGATTTTGCACCCGCACACCATTTCTCCCATGGTTAAACCATAAAGTTGTTCTAAAAATGTTTAAATAAATTAATACAGTTGTTTCCGCTATAGTCATGCTCGCATACTCGCACTTGTATGCATACATATTCCATTCATTTTCTATTTAATTCTATGAATTATATATAAAATTTCACCGAAAGTTTGTCAATCTAAAGTTAACTAGAGTTACTTAGTCAAATCCTTATTAAATTACACAACATGCTGACTGCATTTAAATAATATACGTAGTGTATTGACTAAAGGACCCGGGTAATTGAGTCACTACCGTATACGAATATACGAATTATCGGTATGTTATATGAATCATTACAAGCAAATATAATTTAGCGATAATTTCTTCTATCAGAGTTAATTGAAAGATGTTCATCAAGAACCAAGAATTTCGGAAAGCTTATACTGCAATTATGCATAATGATGAAATTGATTTGCATAATGAATTTCAATAGAAATCTAGAAAAAAAATTGAAACACAACATTTGTTTATTTAGAACTGAAATCTTATTTGGCAAGTTGTTTCGAATTCTTTATAATTCTTTGTTTGTTAATTTAAAAACTTGTCCTGACAAAGACGAAATTTATGATTCGCTTGTGAACAGAGTCACAAGGCGGGACAAACAGGATGAACTGTCGATGTTACACGACTGATCCTTCACCCGATGTGCAACATATAAAAAAATAATTTAACAATACAGATCATTCCGCTAGTACATGTTATGATTATAATCCCACACCATTTTTAATATAATAAAATGGTGTGGGATTATGATCATAACATGTACTAGCGGAATGATCTGGTATTGTAAAATAATTATATGTTGCACACCGGATGAAGGATCAATCGTGTAACATCGACGGTTCCTCCTGTTGGCGGGACATTATTGCGAGCCACATGTGACAGCAAGTCACTGGACTTGTGTATGACGAAATGGTATTTGAGTAACCTGATGATCTGTATTGATTTCTTTGTTCTTTGAATTTTCTGCTCGACATTGTGTCCATCTACGCCCAAAAAAAAAAAAAAAAAAAAACCTAAAGGACGATGCTCGAAAAGTCTGCTCATGTGACCTCTGCGGCTTGTTCCGCGACCCTATCCCATATTGTATTACGTTATCAGCACAGATGTTTGTATACAATAACTGATGATCTTTGCAAATACTCCTAAAAAGGGATTTAAATTTAATATTCAAACTGAAAATATTGTTTCAAGTTCATAATAAATAACTGATCATTATAGATTAGTAACGTTATATGCTGAAATTATTTTCCAATGCATCGAGAATGTCATTATAATAAATTAATATTAATAATAAATTCTTTTTTATGTTGGTTCCGAATCGATGTTATTTTAAAATTTATACAGATCGGAATATGATATATGTCAAATTTAACTGCGCTGATTTTAATATTGATTTCGTAGAGAAAATATACAAACTTAAAATTTTTGTTCAATATGACATTAAATAATGATTTTTTCTTTCTTTTACCTCAAACCTTTGATATACTACAGTACTAGTTAACAATATATGAATAATCGAAAAAATGAAAGATATATTATGAATAGTTCAAAATATAATCATTGCTTGACGTTTTTGTGAAACCCAACAAGTAAACATGAAAATCCAAAATATATATTTACAGTAGTTAAAGTTGGAAATATTGAAGAGCTAAATATTAAAACTGAAAATCATAATTATGATACACAAGTTTGTCCAACTAAGGATTTTTATGATGTAATTCGTCAAGCTCATCAAGATATGAAACATGATAACCAGGAAAAAACATGCCTAAAGGTAATACTTTTTATTTAAATTTATATAAAAAAAAATAGCTAATAATATAGGTTAGATGTGTATTTGGAATCTTAGATAAATGGTATTGGAAAACGAATTAGAACCATTACGAACTAACAAATATCCAGCACGATATTACTCCACTTAGCACTTTCATCTAAAGATGGGCACGCGCGGGATTTTTAATATGATCCCAAAATAAAATTATCTGGCGGCATTACCATATCATCTGGCTGCATTAACATAATATCTGGCCTGCATTAACATAATTAGTAATTGAGCCACCAAAAAAAAGTTTCGAAAATCATATGATATTGTCAATTCATCATGATTAGGATCATGATACGTAATAATATTTATAAAACATTAATTGATTTAGTATGTGATTTATTTTCTTCAATTCTTCAAAATGAAAAGCGATCGTTGCAATCTCGACATACTATGATTCTTTAAAATCAATAAACACAATATTCTAAAAATATGGATCCGTGTCATTTCGCTGACAATCAATCCATTTCACCGACAATCAATTCACCGAAAGTTTATTTCACCGACAACTATTTCAACACAGCCCATTTTACCAACAAGTTTTTTTAAGTTTTTTTAAAAAAATTGCACTAACCTTAACTCAAATTCTAATCTGACCCTAACGAAAATGACCAGAATGACTTTGTCGGTGAAATGATTGTCGGTGAAATAACTGTCGGTGGAATAAACTTGTCGGTGATTTACTGTCGGCGAAGTGATTGTTGGCGAAATTAGCACCACCCAAAACAATATACATCGATAGCCGTAAACCAATTTCCACTAATAATAAACGAAAAAAAAAATTGAAAATCGAAATAAAATTATAAAAACTAATCAAGAAAATGGAACTTTATTTTTAATGCTCTTCCGAAAGACTATAACTTTGATTATTTATTTGAGCAAAAAGTTTTTATAATTCTGAATTCAGAAAAATTATTGAAGAAAATATAATGAATCAAATAGTAACAAATGACTCGATAGTATTAATAAAAACTTTGAGCCATTGCATAAATTAAAAGACAATGGAATATTCCAAATGCTTAGAAAACCCGTAATAATAATAAACTTTCTGGTTGTAATAAATATACGTTTATTGAGTTTATCATTTTGTAGTCCAAATTTTTTTCGGTTGTATTTTTTTTGTTCAAGTTACATGAATTTTTGGTGCTCTACATATTTGCCACGTGATGTTCGAAACTTTTTTGGGTCTATTAATTATTCACTTATTTGTTATCTACTATTTACTTTTTTGCCATACTACTTATGTTAAATCAACAGTTCGTAAGTATAAAATTTTATTTATAGAAATTGATTAATATATTTTATTGTCATAAACAATTAAAATATATCTCTCTATTAATTATTTTTTATCTGTTATCTGTTATTCACTCTTTTGTTATACTATTTTTAATTTAATAGGAAGTAAGTATAGAATTTTATTTATAAAAATTAATTAATATATTTATTGTTAATAAACAATTAAAATATATTTTTCTATTAATTATTCTTTTACCTGTTATCTGCTATTTACTCTTTTGTTATATATATGTTAAATTAACAGTTTGTAAATATAGAATTTTATTTATAAACATTTATCAACATATTTTATTGTTAATGAACAATCAAAATATATTTTTTTATCAATTATTTTTTACTTTTATCTGTTATTTACTCTTTTGTCATATTACTTTTAATTTAATAGATTGTAAGTATAGAATTTTATTTATAAATATTAATCAATATATTTTATTATTATTAAATAATTAAATATATTTATCTATTAATTATACTTTTAACTGATCTGTTATTCACTTTTTTGTTTTGTTATTTTTAATTTAATAGAAAGTAAGTGTAGAATTTTATTTATAAAAATTGATCAATATATTTTATTTATTGTTAATAAACAATCAAAATCTATTTTTTTATTAATTATTCTTTTGTCTGTTATTTGTTATTCAATCTTTTGTTAGAAAGTAAGTATAAAATTTTATTTATAAAAAATTGATCAATATATTT